TGGACCTTCTCACTTCTTGTCAGCTATAAAAGCTTCCTTAGTCCTTGTGGACAAGTGTTAGGGGGGCTAAGTCAAATAAGATGCATGTGAAGAATCTACATGACTTTCAGAATTGGGGGTAAATTTGTATACTTATCAGAGATGGCACAGTCTGGCGTACAGAGATAACACCCACTCGAGAAAATCTGTGTTGCCTGGCGAAGTACCACTATGATTCCGTACCTTCATCACTCGATCCTGAGTCTCTACCCCCATTTCCACTCCTTTGCTCACCAACCTCTTTCTTTGGGTGGGTATCTGGAGAGAGAGAGTCACTTAGGCAAGAACACTCTGAGTTTCTTTTTGCCTCACACCTGTGGAGGTTCTAAACTGCTGATGATCTTAACTGAATCCTCTAGCCTGTCTTAATCAAAGAAATGCCTCCCCACAGCTTTTGCCAAATTTCCCCAAGAGGATATAAACTATTTGTTTTATTTTGATGACTATTTACCTTGCTTGCCCCACAGAGCTTTCTATATCTAATTGTGATAGAAACCTGATTCTCTCTTTCCTCCTCTCCTCCCTCCTCCCCCATCTCATCCTGGAGACGGTAACCAGAACCATGGTGTCTTGCATGCTAGTCAGTCACTCTACCATCCAGTTATTCCTTCTGCCAGAGACAGGGTCCCTTTAAACGCTCAACTTCTGCATTTTCCAATCACTTGAGGCTCCCCAGGGAAAGGCTGATTTTAGGACTCCAAGCCCTGCAACCTCTATGTACTTCTCACAAACACCCCATCCCACAACCACATTGACCCTGCAAAGAAAGCAGCAACTGCATGCAGATTCAAATAGAGCATGATCGAGGCTAGCGCTCCGTTATTAGAGGACAATAGAATAGGGAGCTCTAACCCAATGAAATACATTGATGGGTATTTAAAGAAAAAGCAAAATTGAAGTCTTGGAAAGCCAAGAAAAGTCCCATGATCTCAAATTCCACCTCTTAGGCAGAAGGGATATGCCATTCCCTGGGCTTGCCTCACAATTGTCCCCTAGAATCTGTAGCATCCATGTGTATTCCCTTAGTAGCTATCTAAATCCCTCCCACTGCATGACTGAGTGATGCCGCCCCCTCCCTCTCTGCAGGAACTCACTTTGCAAGAAGGTGAGGAGAGGTGGGGTGGTAAGAACTGTCAGAACTCCAGAAGGGGCAAGGTTTGAGGAGGGTCCGGTGTGTGTATGTGTGTGCGTGCACACCCGTGTGTTTGTGTGTGTGCATGCACATCAGCCTGTTCTAACCAAAATTTCTCATGATTCTAAGTTTTCCTTCAGTATGCTTCACATTTCCCCACATACCTTCATATGAAACATCAAACAGTAACTTCATGGCAGTTTGCCTTGAACCCACCAATGGTGTATCTTGAACCAGCACAGAAGCAATTCCCTTGCATACTGGAGGTATATTATGGGTCATGTATATCTGTGCTATTACTTGTAGTGTTATAATATGTGTATGTGTATATGATTTGTTACATCTATACTATGTTGTATTTGTCCTGAACTTGCACTGTGTTATATGTGCAGTGCTGTGTTTATATCATGTCATGTACACTTATCTTGTCAGTATGTTATTGTATATGCACTATATTTCTGTAATATGTTACATATGATTATATCTCTACCATGCTACATGCACGTACACATGCCATATGTCTAATTTGTAGTGTGCAGCATGTATGTCTATACCATGCCATATACATCTGTACTGAGTGGTGAGTGTTGCATAGCTGTAGTATACGGTGCATTTACACAGCCTTTGCTTTCTTCCTGTAGCTCAGTCTCTTGTTGAAAGCTAGGCAGATATGAATGCATATATCTTATACATACCTAACTTCTCTTTCTTTGCTGCATTTTAGCTTTATTCCCCCTAGAATTTCTGTCTGAGGACTAAAACTATCACCTTGGGGTGGAGATCAAGGGAATTTGTGACAATTGTGCCCTCTTCCACAGAACCATTCATGGCAAACGTCTTATGCAGCGTTAAAGATTTCTGGGGAAAGCTCCTGGATCCTTCTTCAGGCCCAAAGAAGATAAAGTGCAAGGGAGAAGAGAGTGATGCCCCTCTCTCTAAATCTGCTCATACTGGAGAAGAGTGCTATGAAGGGAGCCTCCTTCAATCTTTATAGAAGGAGTGTGCCTTTGCTTGCCAGGCTTGTTAAGAGCTGCTTCAGAGTACTGGTTTCCAGGCTGGATCTTGGGATCGCAATGGGAAGCTGAGAAAATGTGCCTCAAGTATAGTCACTAGGGGGCGATATTGTGCTGTCAGAGACAGTGGTCTGTTGAGGGTGCAGAATTCCAAATACTTCTCATGGCTCTGCTAGAGATGAGGGAAAAGAAGCTGCCTTGTGCCAAGCCAGCCCCCCCCCCCCTTTTTTTTTTTGGTTTTTTTGAGACAGGGTTTCTCTGTGGCTTTGGAGCCTGTCCTGGCACTAGCTCTTGTAGACCAGGCTGGTCTCGAACTCACAGAGATCCGCCTGCCTCTGCCTCCCGAGTGCTGGGATTAAAGGCGTGCGCCACCACCGCCCGGCTCCCCCCCCTTTTATAATTATCTTCACCAAAAAACCTTTCTGTTTTGGGACTGCATTCAGTAGTTAAAATAGTAGAGAGTCTCAGTGTCCCCCTTTGATCTGGCTATGAAAACTACCACGCGGAGCTTTTCCCGGGCTTATAGGTAACCCAGAAAATACAGATTTGGGCTTCTCCTTCTCTGCACGCTCCCCATTCACATGAAATAAAAGTGAAGCCATGTGGCTAAAAGATGAAACGTGTGGGTATCTCTTTTGCATTGGCTTTTCCTAAACTGGAGAGCATACAAAACGGAAACTGCTAACGACGGGCTATTTTCTTTTGTTGCAGGAGGGCTTGTGCTTATCTTAACTATCAAGTACAAAATGGTCCAGGTCGTAATGTTCCCACCAGATTAGAGAACACCCAGTCTAATTCCGTCATTTGGAGGTCAAGAAAACGGGCACCGAGTACCACACGCATTCAGCCTGATTTCTGATTTCCGAGGTTCATGCTGTCCCAGCTTCCACCCTGCCCACTCCACAAAAAGATTTTTCCCTCTAGATCCACCCCCTTCTAACCCACAGAAAACCTTGCCTCCCCCATCAGCTCTGCGAGCTTCTGAACCAACAACCACTTCATGATCCGGCCTCTCTGTGAAAATATGTTGGAGATGACTCTTTTTTCCATCAGGAAATTGATCATTTCTTCTTGGTTTTCAAGGTCCACTTCCCTTATTTTGCTTCCCACCCCCAGTCCCATCTGGAGCTGCACCGTTTTACCCCCTCGTTGCATCCCCTGGGTGCAGCACAGATTGTTCCAACGTGTAGATAATTGACCGAATGTGCAAATCAGACACGGATCTATTGCATTGATTAACATTTCCAATTAAACTCCCGGTTAGGCTGTGAGTATTAGTGACTCAAGTCATCACAAGCAAATGCTTGTACCTTCTACGCTGCAGAGTGCAGTAGGCAGTGCCACATTTCTGGGGAGAAATGGAAACACACTGACGTGGAGGTTCACTTAGTTCTGGTACTGCTGAATCAGACTGTAAATGTATGATTGTTGATCCGAGGCTTGGGCTTCACACCTGAAATGGAGGACTTGGGTCCTCCATGCCGCTACAGTTACCTTTCCGCCCCCTGCTGGCAAAGCTATTTAGTGGGGATTTGGCCTGGAAGTCTACCCTGGCCCTGCAAAAGGAACTGCCTAGCTTCTGACAGGTGAGGTTGTGGGTGTGGGTGGGGTCGGGGAAAGGTGCCCAGCTAAGACTTAAGCTGCCCTCCAGAAGCCTGGAAAGCCACACTTACCTTCCAGTGTAACAGTTTTCTGCAGTCCTTAGTGGACACAAGACTCCCCCATCCCACCTCCCCCTTCCCCACCCCTCATGGATTCTCTTTTGACTCAAACCTGGGTCTAATTCACCCATATAAAGCAGTCAGACTCCAGTCTCGGGTTATAGCTCCCCTGCTCTCCTCTCTAGCCTTCACCCACCCCTAGTCCCTTCCCTTTATCTAAAAGGAAAAAACTGATTTTTTTTATACCGCTGCTCATCAAGTTTCTTATCATTCCTTTGGTTAAAGTTTCTGGTTCCTAAAAAGGGGTTATACAGCTGGGAATGCTATTGATTCCCTAAACTGCTAGAAGCCCCAAAGAATCCTTGATTGAGTCACTGCTGTCTTGACTACCAAAACTTTTCTGTTACCATGTCACCAGGGAAACCGGGACTCCTGGGCTCTTAGGAAGATACTGGTCTTTCTGCATCCTCTATAGCGCTCTCCTACCTACACCATTAGCTCCAGCCTATTCAGTCTGATTTCTAGATCTTATTTCTTCAGTACTCGTCATTCACTTTGACTTGGTACTTAGTCCGACTTCACAATAGCAGAATCTCTGCCAGCAAACCCCTTCCACTCTTCAGCCATTTCCCGTTTCTCTCATCAAATCTACTACCCAGTCTTCTCCAAACGCAGAGCAGATTTGTCTGCTCTATACCCCACTTTCACGTTTGAACGGGGAAAAAAATCAACCACCCACCCACCCAACCAACTAACAAGTAAACCCATAACCTGTAGGAATGATCAGGATGTTCATGCATGTCGTGGCCCTTTGCTTGTGCTCTTACCACGAGTTGTCTGCTAGAAGACTTAAAGAATGAGCCTCTTCACATCCGGGGTCTCTCTGGATTCTTGATTACCAGCAGTCAGCTTTAGCCCAGCACACCTCCCAGACTCTTTTCATGTTGTGTGTTGCGTGGACACGACATTTGTATCCCGAAAAAAAGAGGGCTAGTTGGCTCTCTTCCCAGGTGCCAGCCTATTAATCACCCATTACTTCCATTACCACGGTGAGCCCCTTTACACAGAGGTGCCCCTGATTGGAAGCTCAAGTGCCAAATCACACATCGTGCCCAATTATAATTTTACAAATGGCCCACTGAAAACCACACTGACCTTTTAGACCTGGCTCATTCCAGAACAGGGCCACAGTGCTGTCGCCAACAGGAATGCACCTCCTTCTGTTCCAACACCTCAGACAACCATACAGTTGGCCTGGATTTGAGTCTGAAAAACCATGTGGTGGGGGGAGCAAAACTAACATGGCTAAGGGCTTCCCTGGGGAAAGCCATCTTTTTTTCAAAATATAGTATACTGCAACCACCCCCATCATGCTTCCCAAAGCCAAGCCACTCACCTTTCTCTCTGCTTCTATGGCCCATACAGTCCAGAAACCTCAAGTCTATAATCTGGAATGGATTATGGGAGATGGGACCAAAAAACAAACTAACAAAATCCAACGGAGCCCCCCCCCCAGTTCCCTCCTTGGGGAAGAACCACCTACAACCCCCGCCCAACCCTCACCCTGCCCTCAACCATCACCTAAGGAAAGGAAAAGCCTACCAGAGCCAAAATCTAAAATGTTCTGTTCACTCAGAAGTATGCCAATTACAAACTGAGGGCAGTGTCTCCTCGGAGCCAAAAGAGACACGAAAGGGAGGAAGCAGTAAACCCAATGACCTTACTCCCCAGACAAAGACAGGGGCCAACAGGGGACGCCAGCCTTTTCTAAGGACCTTATTGAATCCATTCAGTCCCACAGAAAAAGAAGAAAAAAAGAGTCCTCCTGTTATTACCATCCCCCCATGTGAAAAGGGGAGGGGAATAAAGAAAAAAAATAAAAGAAAGGAAGGCTCTTTTTAAGAAAATTGGTACTTTTATGTTTCAGTTGGGTAGTTCTGATGCGGACTTGGCCAGACTGTGGCCACACCCCCTCCCCTTCTCTAGAGGGCTGCTGTCAACACTGTGGCTGGGATGGGGGTAGATGGTAGGAGAATTACAGTCTGACACAGCTTTCAGGGCAGATTTTGCCCCACGCAGCCCAAGCCCCAATAAACTAATCCTGGGTTTAGCCAAGGGAAGAAGCCTGGGTCCTTGAGGACCAGCCCGGACACACCCACTCATCTGCCTAGGCAAACCCCATCATACGCTGGGAGCTGGGTCCCACAGCTTGGGCACCGTTGCCATGTAAGAGGGTCAAAGCTGGGGCGCATCCGGAGCAGGAGGGGGACACAGGAAGGAACATCTGCCCAGGAGCCTCCCCAACCCCGAGCTAACCCCGTACAGTACAGAAGTCACAAGATTTACCTGTCAAGGGTCCAGCCACCCTGCCAAGACCTTTCCAGTACCTCCAAGCACGCTGACAGTTGGGCTGGGGAGCTGCAGCCCAACGGCCGCAGCAGCAGCCCGGGGCCCAGCCGGCTCCCCCCCCCCCCACGGCTCTTCTCTCGCCCAGTGCGCTCACTCCCAGAGGGGAAAAGCTGCAGCCCCCAGTGTAAGACCCCAGACTGCAGCCACAGCTGCCCGCCTGCTACAGAACCCCTCTGCTCAGCAACCGCTCCCTAGCTCTTCTTTGCTATGACGTCACCTGGGCTCTGCACCGTACCTAGGCCAATCAGATGGTGAGCATGAAAGTAAAATCGCCCTGAGTGGGCTACTGGGGACCAATCTTTTGTTTCCAGGCAGGAAGCGCCCTAGGAGGGGGGAGAAAGTGAAAGGGGGAGAAAGGAGAGGGAAAGGAGATGGAAACTTCTACACTGTCGGGATTGTATAAAGAGGAAGGTGGAGCCATCGAGAAAGAGGCACCAGGCAAGAGTGAGGAGGGGACGTTTCATGCATCTTTCTTGCTTGCCAGCCTTAAGAACACTAGACTTTGAGATAAATTTCCAGGCCAGGGAATCCATCGACAGGAGCAGGCTTTCTGGAGGAAATGGTTTGGATTTGGGACACCACCTGTCAGCCTAGTAGGTGACATAGAAAACTAAGAGGGAGAGATGTGGAGGTGAAATTAGACAGGGAAAATAGTTTTCTACACATGGGAGGTACGTTTCAAAACAGGTGGCATTATACAAAAGAAATAATTCTTTTACTTCCAGTTGAGTGCGTTGATTTCACATCGCTCCCCTTGTTCACGTTTTCCCTAACATCTTTAACGATTTCTCTCATCTTTACCAGAAGGTTCAGATTTTGACAGGTGTCCTAAATCGTTTCAAATCTACCTTCACAAATCTTCACTTCCTACTCCCAAATCCACCCTTCTTAAAGTTTTGGCAGATTATATAAAGTATGCCATATCTCTGCAATGAGACAACAGACTGCTCAATACTCTGTATGTTCGAGTTATGACGATGTAAAATATGCCTCCCAAACACAGAAGAGGAGAGGGCAAAATCTTAATGGTTAGGTTAAAGTGGTGGGGTTTAGAGGCGATTTTCTTTTCTACTTTTGAACTTCTTTGAAAAAATAAAGGTAAATGTATTTTCACAAAAATGAAAGGCCAGAATAAAGGATAAATATACCCAATGTCCTTTTGATTTGATTTTCTCAACACTGCATGAGAACCTCATTCCTTCACAATGACAAAACAATGTATTTTAACACCAAGACTTACTTTTCATGTTTTTCCCACATCCTCTGAGGAAGAATCACACAAAAGATCTCTGGATTAACCAGAGACAACCCTAGAAAGGTGTGTGTGTGTGTGTTGGGGGCGGGGTTATTGATTCATTTTGACTAAGATCAGGCACTGAAAGAACAATGACTAACCTACGACAAAACAGGGAAGACTAAGACGGGGACTCAGAAATTTACACCAGGATGGTGTTGCCGCATTTTCCTTCAATAAAAATATGTATGTATGCCTACGTAAGTGTTCTATGAAGACTGTAGAAAGTAGTAGAGCAGGAATTTGTATCTAAATCTGAGTACACAGCCCATGGATTTTCTAATATGCTGAAGTGAATGCTTAATAAAAATTAAGCAGGGCATTAATGGCTGTGGAAAATATGCACTGAATTTATAAGGAAAAACTACACAAGGTAAGTGCTGTTTAAAAATGGGGTGTTTTAAAATAGCTTTTAAAACACATCCTGGTGGTTGCCTTCTAATGCAACACGCACACTCTCTCATTCTTGCTTAATAGATTGAAATCAGGATGCTTCTGCTTACAATGACTTTACAGATACTTTTGTAATTAACTTTGGGGTTAAAAAAGTAACTACATCACATTGATTTTTTTTATACATAATGGTGGAAGTAATCTAAAAAATACTGATCTAAATGTCATTTGCTTAATGGTAATGCATCTTATTGTAAATTGCTTTTATTTGGGTTACTTTAAACCCAAATACTTAAAAAAAAAAGAAGAAGCATAACTGGATTTTCCTGGTAATGATTCAGCTATGGTTTCTGGGGTATTGATTTCAATTGTAATTAAAAGGTATTTGATTTCACTCTAATCCCCACATATACCTCAGGTATAACTTAGAGCTATTTATATAGTCACTTCACATGGTTATTTAAACGTTTCATGTGTGTATTTATTCTTTCCCCAGTGATTTCCTCACTCTTTTTGTGTGTGAGCGTGTGCGTGCACGCGCGTGCACATGTGTGTGTAAATGGGGGGCAAAATCCTTTTAGGTCTTGACAAACTGAAGCACAGTAATGTCATTCAAACAAGACTCTACACCCAGCATGAAAGACTTGGATCCCCGTGTAAAAAGGTATTAACCTGTGTTATTCTTGATACCCAAAGATAGTCTTTGCTACCAGTGTGGCTTATTCTCCAAGAATATAGAGGAAGGAAAGGACTTTAAACTATACAAGCTTAATATTTTATTGGTGTGCAACTTTCTCTTCCAAACTCCCACTATCTGTTCCTTCCTTGCTTGGATGTTCTCTGGCTCAAAAATACAACCTTGAGAACCAATAGAATTTGTATCATGTTTCTCAGATTACAAACCTTCTTTGTATCTCACCATTTTTCCAGGGCTTTTTGATTTATTTTTTTTAAAAAACTGACCTACTAGCTCCAGTTCCTCTCCTTCTCCCAGCCCCAACTATCCCCTTTCCACCCCCATTCACTTCTCAGGTCATTCAATGACCACAATAACCGCAACAGTTCACTTCAGCAAGCATTATGATCTGAATGTCATAGAATGAACAGTAAAATCCCAGGGCTTTGAAGTCACCAGGGCACTGACTTCCAGGTCCTTTAGATCACAGTATAAGGCAATTTGAGAGCATGATAGGAATGGAGGACATGGAGTGTTTACTTTATATTCAAAGCCTAGACGAAAGAAATATTGCAGGCTGGGCAGCAATGGCGCATGCCTTTTATCCCAGCACTCTGGAGGCAGAGGCAGGCAGATCTCTGTGAGTTCAAGGCCAGCCTGCTCTACACAGCAAGTTCCAGGACAGGCTCCAAAGTGACAGAGAAACCCTGTCTCAAAAAAACAAATCAACAACAAAAAAGAAACATTGCACAGTCTCATATCCATATACCGTAGCACTGATGGGACTGACGAGTTGCTAATATTTACCAAATTTATAATTTCATGTCATTTGACCTATCAATCCTAAATCAAAGAAAATGCTTAAAGATATCTTCATGACAACATACCAAGATATGCTCAAGAATATTCATTGTTTGCTCTAATGTAAGAGCATAAATGTCACATAAAAGGGAACCTAAATGTCCCTCCATAGGAGTTCATTGGTTTTTGTTGCTGTTGCTTGTTTTTGTTGTTGCTGCTGTTTTTGTTTTCTCCAGCCAGATTCTCTGACTGGCCTCAACATTACCACTTACTTGAAAATGACCTCAAACCGCCTCCTTAATCCTCTAGGCTCCTGCTGCAGCCCCCCCAAGTGCTGGGATTACACGTGTGTGCTACAGCTGTAGCTATTCTTGAATTTTTTTAACTTCACATTCAAAGTCTGAATGCACTGGAAGAGGATGCACAGGTCAAAAAAATCATTGCTGCACGACTCTGGAGATACATATGAAGTCTCGAGATTATCACCAACACCAAGGTACTAGAGATAACAATCATTTCCTAAAACCTCAGACTCTAAAAAGAAAATAGTCCAATTATATCATACACATATTTTAAAATATTATACACCAGGTAAAAATCACCAGGTGGTTTCCTATAAGCTAAAATAAGAAGCATGCTTCGACACTTTTTTGAGTAAAACACAATTGCAGGACAATATGGATGCTTTAATTTTATGGTTGTTAAAAATTGTGTGTGTGTGTGTGTGTGTGTTTACATTGGAATTACATACAGCAAACACAGGGTGACTGTAGGCATTAATGAGGTAAATTATGACATATATGTATGTGTGTTTTATTTAAACATTCTTCAATTTACAGTGCTTCAATGTAGAATTTTTCTCTCTCCCTCCCCCTTCTCTCTTTCCTTTTCTGTTTCCTTCTCTCTTTTTCTTTCTTCATCTTTTTAATCTTTTATTTTGTTGTTGTTGTTTTAGATGCACTTCTATATTCTACCCTCCTAACCAAACTTGCTCAGTAAATGGTGTGCAGCATTAGCTAGGAAGAGTGTCTGAGTATTGCTGTATATGGTAGTCACTAAAGCTGACCCTCTTTCTGCTTGCATCCCTGCCCCCATTATTAGTAGCTGCAGCTCTCCTGCAGCAGGCTGTTTTGTTGATTGCATGCAAGAAAAATACAGGGAGTTTAGACATGTCAAGAGGTGAGTCTGAGAAACCAGAGACTGTGAGGTAGAGTGTAGGGATAAGTCCCGCCCCTTGGTGGGCGTGTTCGCCTTGGGCTAATGTCTGCCTATAAATTTGGCAAGCATGCTCCCAGCCACCTCTTCTGCTTTCCTGGTCTCCGCTGGAACGGTGGTTCTGTGAGTCTATTTCGACATTAAACTATATATAAATTGTTACAATCTGTCTGCATTCGTTTATGCTGTTACATTTTGGTGCCCAACGTGGGGCTATTTTTGCCCCGGACTCAAGCGGGTAGCCTGCTAGCTAACACAGCACCCTCCCGGGTGCTGTTTTTTAGTTCGTGACTCTGTGACTCCGGCCCCAGTGCCAAGTCCCAGACATACTCAGCCACACAGGCCCATTGTGCCTGCCTTGGCTAAGTTTGCAACGGAACCCCACTGCCTGAATTAGCAGAAACTCAAGTACCTGCGGTTTTTCAACAAAAGCTGCCACAGCAGCAGATTTGGTCTGATACAAAGTGACTTGGCTGGGCAGTGGAGGCGCAAGCCTTTGATACCAGCACTTGGGAGGCAAAGGCAGGCGGATCTCTGTGAGTTTGAGGCAGGCCAGGCAGTGGTAGCGCACACCTTTAATCCCAGCATTTGGGAAGCAGAGGCAGGCAGATCTCTGTGAGTTCGAGACCAGCCAGGCAG